CACTTTAGCCTAATTTTTAAGAATCCAGTTAATCGTTTATGAAGCTTGAGTACATTTTCTGAACACACTCTGCAATACCTTTCCGACGATATCTCAAACATGTCGATTGGACGTCTGGATAAAAATTTCCAAATCTCGTGTATATATGAGCGAGTCATTTCAGCATGTTACTGTAGCTGCTTTCGTCACTCGCGTGCACTGCCATGCGCTGTGATATGTGGTTTATGGAGAATTTTATTAGCTTTGACCTGACGTCTCTCATTTGAAGATCGTTAAATTGGTTTGTAAGGTATACGCGATTAAGTGGAACCATTTTTTGTTTTAAGCTGAATAACAGTAAATTGCAAATATCTCGAAAACGTATCCATAGAAAAAAATCAACGCGATTTTTGGAATAACCGAGCATAGAAATTTGATAGTGGCGTCTGGAGAACAAAACCCAAACTAAAATTTGTGATCCAGTGTTATTGATATTGTACTAGTACTCACAGTACCTGGTGAAATATACCTTATTCATTCATTTTCTATGTTTTCGTTTTGTTATTGGGAATTTTTGTAGTTTCGGAAATCACCGAGCTCAGAGTTGCTATTCCAAGTGTCTACAATTTAACTCAAATGTATTCAGCCTTCAGCCTTCTCCGAACCGGTTCACTTTTCGTTTCCGTGTATTCACTACGGGCGGATGAAATAAATTCGGACGATAAGGGACATTATGTTGCAAATACAACTTTTGAAAAGTACGAAAACTATTAATTATATGATGTTTTTTTTATATATGTTTTAAACTAGCTTAAAACAAAATGTTTTAACACATGTTTTAAAAATAGGTGATTTTTTCCATTGTTTTAAACAAGGTTTTTAACACTTCAAAAAATGTTTTAAGGTTTTCCAACCCTGGGCACAGTACAGGAATCTTCTATTGAAAAATTTCAACAAATTAGTTTTCGTGATTGGGATAAAGAAAAATATTTGGGTATTCACACAATTGGGATACGATTTGCAGCAAATTTCGGCAAATACCCACCCGTGTGACACTGCCTTTAAAGCGTGTATTTATTCGGATATTGTTAAAGAAAGAACAAAAAAAACTAACCAAAATTAAATAACAAAAATAATATTTTAAAACTTGTAAAAATTTGGTGCGGCTATAAATTTTTCGACTACTGTACATAAGTTGACTATGATTACTCGGTCGTGCAATCATAGCAGCACAATGCCACTAATATTTGACTTACAAACAAAATATGCGCAGGAATATCAAAATTTCAACCCTTTTTGTGTAAAATATTTTATTTTTATCAGTATTTTTCTTTTAATCAATCTATGTTGAAATAAAAGTGAAAATAAAAAAAATATTTTGTCAGAGACAAAAGATGGTATGTTTTGTGTATACATGACTTTAACGCATGGTATAATAATTGTCTTCCCAGAGAGCGCATATTCCGATCTGCCTTATTTAAAAAATATCATTGTTGCCCACACTAAAAGGTTTACTGCTAGGGAAAAGGGATATTTCCATACCCCATATACCATATGTGTATACGTATTTTTTTAAACAAACCTTCTTGCAGAGGACTTATTTAATTTGCAAAAGGCGGAAAAAACATTTGCTTGTAAATTAATTAAATTTTATATAACTCACTTCATTTCAAACGTTTTTTCTATTGTTTTGAAAAATTATAAAAATTAAATTGTACTTTAATTCCTGAAAGTTTGAAAGAAATTAAGTGAAGGTACGTACAGACGCCACATACATACCAAAGCGTCTCGTAGTGGAGTCACGAACCAAAACACATTTACCTCTATATCTTTCCAACTAATAGCCGGAACTTAATATATAAGGTATCGTTTGAAAGGTATTGGCCTATAGAATAACACTAAATATGGTGGGTGTACGCACATGCCCCCTTAAACCGGTAAAAGCAATAAAACTTTTTTTGGTTGGCAACACTTAAGCCTAATTTTTAAGAATCCGGTTAAGCGTTTATGAAGCTTGAATACATTTTCTAAACACACTCTGCAAGACCTTTCTAACCATATTTTAAACATGTCGATTGGACGTCTGGATAAAAATTTCCAAATCTCGTGTATATATGTATAAGCGAGTCATTTCAGCATGTTACTGTGGCTGCTTTCGTCACTCGCGCGCACTGCCGTGCGCTGTGATATGTGATTTATGGAGAATTTTATTAGCTTTGACTTTACGTATCTCATTTGAATATTGTTAAATTTGTTTGTAAGGTATACGCGATTAAGTGGAACCATTTTTTGTTTTAAGCTGAATAACGGTAAATTGCAAATATCTCGAAAAAGTATCCATAGATAAATATCAACGCGATTTTTGGAATAACCGAGCATAGAAATTTGATAGTGGCGTCTGGAGAACAAAACCCAAACTAAAATTTGTGATCCAGTGTTATTGATATTGTACTAGTACTCACAGTACCTGGTGAAATATACCTTATTCATTCATTTTCTATGTTTTCGTTTTGTTATTGGGAATTTTTGTAGTTTCGGAAATCACCGAGCTCAGAGTTGCTATTCCATGTGTCTACAATTTAACTCAAATGTATTCAGCCTTCAGCCTTCTCCGAACCGGTTCACTTTTCGTTTCNGATTTTCTATGTTTTCGTTTTGTTTGTGTGTTTGTTTGTTTGTTTTTTTTATCTGGAAACTTCATCCTAGCACAACAATTGTACAAAATTATATTATAGTGCTAGTCACAATTCATAATAACTAAGTAATAGAAGTTGCATATTAAAAAGAAAAACAAAGACTAAAAGTATTTGTTAAGAAACATAAAAACATTAATAATATTAAATACATAGAAATCGAATCTTTTAAGCATTCTTATTTTTGGATAGAATTCACAAAGCCATGTCACACGAATACGCATTTGCACAAAACTTTGTCAAGCTAAGGTATGTATATCTACTAGGAACAAAGTTTTGATCCTAGTTTTGTTTGTGGCAATAAGAACCATACAATTCTGTACAAATATACCACTCGTGTGAAGCGGCCGCGACAGAGAGATCGAAGGAAGTACAAGTAAAGTAAAGTAGAGTATAGTATAACGAACGTACAAGAGGAAAAAACATACAATTAATACACATATAATTATAATTAGCTATGGTAAAAACTGGTTAACTCATTTTTGAAACGCAGTGCATTGTTGATTGACCTTATTCTGATAGGTAGTGAGTTCCAAAGGCGGATAGAGTTAATGAAAAATTGACGTTCCGATATTTGCATTCGATGTTTAGGGAGGACAAGTAGTACTGACCTCGTAGACTGAAAGAATTGGAGTCTTCGATATAGATATTCAATTTCCTTCGTATGTATTATTTTATGAAGGGCTTCAAGCACTCTTACTTTTAGCAAATTTTCAAAAGTGATGTTGAGCAACCTCTCAGCTTGTTCAGAAACGTGGTCAAGTCTTTTTAGCCCAAACACATATCTAGCAATATTGTTGTAAGCAACATTAAGTTTACTTTTACAGGCACAGTCACAATTAGCATAAATCTCACAACTATACAGGGGCGTAGGTATAAAGTACGATTTCGCCAAAAGTAGTCTAATGTTTAAAGGTGTGAAGTACTGTGTTAATCTGAGTGTACGGAGCATACCATACACTTTTCCTACTGCGCTAAAAATGTGGTTTTTCCATGTCAATGTTTTGGTAAATACTACTCCAAGATTCTTGGCCGTGTCGACGTATTCAATTACTGAATTGTCCAAAGTGATCTTATCTAGACCATCAGAGGCAATGGATTTCCTATGAATGATGATACATTTCGATTTGATAGGGTTAAGACATAATCCATTCATAGAAGCCCATTCCCCTATTTGGTTTAAGTCATGGTTCAAATCTTTTATACACATACTAATACGATCAGGAGGACAGCAAACATATAATTGGACGTCGTCAGCATATATGTGGACATTACAATATTTGAGGATGTTAGGCAAATCATTGACGTACAAAACAAATAACAAAGGACCCAGGATTGAACCCTGGGGGACCCGCTGGCTACAGATAGGAAATCAGAATTCTTGCTACCAATACTCACCGCCTGAGTTCTGCCACTGAGATATGATCTGATCAGTGAGCATGCTGGACCAGAGAAGTTAAACAAGTTCATAAGCTTTTGACATAATATCATGTGGTCCACTGTGTCAAAGGCTTTGGAATGATCTAAGAGGGTTAGGAAAGCAATATTATTATCATCAAGTTGCGATCGAATATTTTCGATTACGTTTAATAGTGCTGTTGTACAGCTCCTTTTAGATCTAAAGCCCGATTTGTGGTCTGTTAAAAGTCTGTTGTATTGCACATAGAAAATAATTTATTTATGTAAAAGACGCTCTACCACTTTTGATAGAAAGGGAAGGATAGCTATTGGTCGATACTCGTTATTTTTCTTATGAACAGGGATTATCTTTGAAACTTTCCAACACTTAGGGAAGACACTGGTGGTCAAAATTGAGTTGATTAGGTAAGTCACGTGGGGTAGGATTGTAGGTAGTATTATTTTCAGAAAATTTGCATGAACTCCGTCAAATCCCACGGCTTTAGATTTAATGGATAATATGGCTTGCACGACATCACAGTCATCCACACAAACAAACTCAAATGGACTAATACTAACATTTACACGTGCACTGTAGTTGTCAAGACATGTATTAGCTAAAGAACTGCGTGAACTAACAAATTTTCTATTTAATTCGTCTAAATTTAGGTCTTAGTGAAGAGATAAACTTTCTTCTTTTTGGTTGTTTGTGTTTCCGACAGGGTAGGAGTATGATGTATTGTGGATGACAAGGGATGACGTAAAATCGTTCCACAATACGTCAGATAAACTTTCCTTTGATTTTCCCATCCCAATTTCTTTAATTGCATTCCACGTTTGATTAGAATTCATGTCTGAGCTGATTTTTTCCTTATAATACGTAGCTTTCGCAGACCTTATTGCTTTGTTGACAATGAGCCGAGCTATTTTGAAGCGGCTTAAGGCTTCAGGGGTTCTGTACCGCTTCCACCTCGCGTAGGTTTGATTACGAGTAGAAATAAGGTCTTTTAATTTAGAATTGAACCAAGGGCTGCTGTTGCACTTTGCTATTCTGCGTCTGAGTGGAACGAAGTCATCAAAGAGCCTATTTATGTGTGAAGGAACTTAGTTTGGTCGTCAATATTTACCAGCGTTCGAATCAGATTCCATTCCACTGACTCCACCGCATCAGTGAGAGAGGTATAGTTGATGTTCTTGAAGTCTCGATGTGTGAAACATATTGGTATTCTGGTTGTTTGAAAATCAAAAATCAAGAAAATCTAGTCGTGTTTCGAAAAGTTAGGCGCAGACAGTTGGCTACAGTGGAGGGATTTACTAAGGTCATTCACAAAAAATATGTCAAGCAAAGTGCTGTTGGTGTTAGTAAAATGTGTTGGTAAGTAGGTGTTAGTGGGAAAAAGACCTAGAGACTCCATGCTAAGTTTTAAGCTGCAATCGACAATAAGGTTGCTGTTGAAATCACCCGCTACCACAGCGTTGTTGTAGTTGTCGAGTAACGGTTGAAGAAATTCGGTGAAATNGACCTAGAGACTCCATGCTAAGTTTTAGGCTGCAATCGACAATAAGGTTGCTGTTGAAATCACCCGCTACCACAGCGTTGTTGTAGTTGTCGAGTAACGGTTAAAGACATTCGGTGAAATTGGAGAAGTTAATATGACGATTGGGTCTGTATACACAGCCGACCAGGAGCTTGTTTTCACCTGAAAAGATATCAATGAACACATATTCCACAGAGTCACCACAACCAGAAGCACAACATAATCTACAAGACAAACAATTTTTAACATATATTGCGACACCACCACCATGACCACTTCTATCAGCTCTGAACAGTTGGTATCCTTTCACTTTTATCAAATCATTACTGTGAAATGGTGTGAACCACGTTTCGGAGACACAAAGATTATCAATATCGGAATCCAGAAAAATATATTTAAACTCATCAAGCTTTTTGTACAAGCTTTGCGCATTGAGGTGAATTATCTTCAACCCAACCGCTTGTTTGCTTAAAATGCGCAACATGGTGTTAAGACAGCCTTTGGAACTCGCCTGCTTATAGTCCAAATTCAATATACAAAATTTTAAATGCACTTCAGTTGGAATTTAACAAAGCTAATAGTAAATTTAACCAGAAGTATGTGGAAATAGAGTAAGTTACACAGTAAAAGAAGAGATAAAAAGAACAATAATAGCAGTAGTAGTAATCATACATCTAGTGGATCATCGCTGTTTTGGTGTATATTTCCGTCGCGAAAGGAGTGGATACCAGGTGTACTAGTGTGCTCCAGTTCATTGAGTATATCCAGGGTGTATATTGCGAGCGGACTGTTGTTTTTCTGTTGCCTAATGTGAACTAAGCCTCCTCTGGTGAACACAGATCAACTTTTTTCCGTTTTTTGAGATTAAGGGCTGACTTGGAAATCTGGTAATTATGCTTTGTAAGCGACTCGTTAATGAAAACAGGGGCTTCGGATTGTATGCCTGCATGAGTAAGCCGTATTCCACTGTTGTTAGATCGTCTATAATTCGCCACAGTTTTTAGAAAATTGTTTCTATCCGCAGGTGCTTGAAACTTGACTACAATCGCAGGGTCAACCGGAGTATCCCGAGGTTTCCGTGCTCGGAAAATACCCCTTAATGGAGGTGGTTGTAAATTCAGGGAAACACATAGATCATGAAATATACTCTGCAAGTTTTCACCTTCTTCGAGTGCGATCCCTAGTACTCTAGCATCACAGACAGCCATAAGGCTATCATGCTTGGAGAGATTTTGTTTTAAAGTTGCTACCTCTGCCTCAACGATTCTAATTCGATCGCCAAACGGGTAACTCTATCATTTAATTTGGTTATCTCACGCGTAACAATTCTAACTTTTCTTCAAATTTGCGACAGAAAACCTCCATAATTCTGTTTTCGGACTCAAGGATTTGCTTTACAAGCAGTTCGTTGAACTTTTCAAAGCGTAGATCCATACTGCGTATAATATTTGGTGATGAGCCACTGATTAGCAGAGTTTTTTGTGGGTTCTCCATCGTTGGTAGTAGTCTCACCACGTCGTTTTCCGGCACCTCCAGTCATTTTATTGGGATTATAGAAAAGAAAGAGGTGGCAGCACAGTTTACGACACGAAGTTGTGATTTGCACAAAGTTTACCACAGGTGGCTCTATTGTCGCTATTGATGACACAAACCAAACAACTCTGAGAAAAGCTTGTGGCGAATAGCGGGAGACGTATAGGAGTTGTTGTTGATTAGGTACTTCGCCTCTTTTGCATTCACCAAGAACAAAACAATTTTGTGGAGCACCTGACTTACTTTTCAATTTCGATGCTTAGAGAATCGTGATTTATTATTCACTTAAAGCTTATATATTTAAAGAGCAAAGTGGAACGAGAAACTTTATGTACTTCACACACAAAGGTTGCCAGCTATCTTTTGTTTTTGGAAATTTTTGTAGTTTCGGAAATCACCGAGTTCAGAGTTGCTAATGCAAGTATCTACAATTTAATTCAAATGTATTCAGCCTTCAGCATTCTCCGAACCGGTTCACTTTTCGTTTCCGTATATTCACTACGGGCGGATGAAATAAATTCGGACGATAAGGGACATTATGTTGCAAATAAAACTTTTGAAAAGTACGAAAACTATTAATTATATGATTGATGTTTTTTCTTATATATGTTTTAAACTAGCTTAAAACAAAACGTTTTAACACATGTTTTAAATATAGGTGATTTTTTCCATTGTTTTAAACAAGCTTTTTAACAATTAAAAAAATGTTTTAATGAGTGCCATCTCTGGGTACAATACAGGAATCTTCTACTGAAAAATTTCAACAAATTAGTTTTCGGGATTGGGATAAAGAAAAATATTTCGGTATTCACACAATTGGGATACGATTTGCAGCAAATTTCGGCAAATACTCACTCGTGCGACACTGCCTTTAAAACGTGTATTTATTCGGATATTGTTAAAGAAGGAACTAAAAAAACTAACCAAAACTAAATAACAAAAATAATATTTTAAAACTTGTAAAAATTTGATGCGGCTATAACTTTTTCGACTACTGTACATAAGTTGACTATGATTACTCGGTCGTGCAATCATAGTTGCACAATGCCACTAATATTTGACTTACAAACAAAATACGCGCAGGAATATCAAAATTTCAACCCTTTTTGTGTAAAATATTTTATTTTTATCAGTATTTTTCTTTTAATCAATCTATGTTGAAAAATGTCCCAAAAAAAATCCTGGCTACGGCCCTAAATGTAGCCATATTTTTCCCATATATTTTGACCATTTTGGTTACTAGTGTTGGTAAAAAGGTACCCTGCAAAAATTTGAGGACCAGGTGGTCTACTGGGACGTAGTTTTACAGTATGTGCAACAGGACCAGGTTGCATACTAGTAACTTCTTATGCTTACCTGGACTACTTCAAACGTACAAAACTTATATAAGTGTTGAACACCACCTCTTCGTGGCCCATCGGCACGGCGGTTTTTGAAGAAAATGCATTTAAGATAATAGATTTTGCCATTTAAATTTAAAAACCACCTTTAAAAATTATCAAATATTAGGTTTATACAAAATCGTATGAAATTCAGCCCACGGTTCAAAAGGGTAGTTGTGTAGGTGGTCCCATGTTATGCAGCGGTAGATCAGAAGAGGTTCCATGTTATGCAGCATTGGACCAGGGGTGGTAAGGTCCAATGGCATCGCAATGTTAATGTAACTATATTTTCTCCATATGTTTGGACCATTTCGGTTACTAGTGCTCGCTACAATGTATCATAATGGGCCCTGATCGGGCCTAAGTGTACCGGTGTCCCCTGGGCCTGGCAGCCACTTCAACCTAACCTGACCTACATTTTAATTAGGTATATATTATAGTATGGTTATATAAAAATAAAAAATAAAAAAGCGCCGCAGTCGAAAATTTAGAATAAAAGCTCGTCTGCCTTCTCATCTCCTGGTATGTCACTGTGCGCCGGTACCCATGTCAGTGCATGCCATCACATTGAGTGATTTGCGGCAGTTGGCAGCTATCTCCGAAGTGATAGTGACAGTGGCAAGTACCATCAGGGCCGCCTGACTGTCTGAGTATATACGTATTTTAGTAGTGGCGATAACAGCTAGCTTTAGGCTGTCAACGGCTTCTTGTATGGCTGCCAGTTCGGCTTGAAATACACTACAGTGGCCAGGTAGACGGATTGATCGTTATATTCCCAATTCTTCCGAGTAGACGCCTCCTCCTACCCAGTTGTCTAGTTTAGAGCCGTCCGTGTAGAATCTTATGGCATCTTCAGATCCCGGAACTCCTTAGATCCATGATTCTCTGCTAGGTAAAGTCGCGCCATAACTTTTAGTAAACATGAGCATTGGTACACAGTAGTCCGTTGTGCTCGGTAGATGTTGGTTGATAAGAATTGTAGTGTGACCACATCGAGCCGCTTTCCAGCGTCTGAGCTCCTGTAGTCTTAGGGCTCCATTCGCAGCGTATTGCCTTCCCTTAAGGTCTATGCGTATGATGTTTAGAATCGCATTCATTGCTATAGTAGGTGTTCTGCGGAGAGTCCCACTAATGCAGATCCGGGCTTTTCTCTTCTCTTTTTGTAACTAAGAGCTGTTTGCTTTCTTCTCTAGCACTGGCTACCATACCACTATCGCGTAGAGAAGTATGGGCCTCACCACGACGGTGTATATCCAGTGCACTAGACTGGGGGTTAGACCCCATTTTTGACAAATTGCTGTCCTACAGCTACAAAGGGCAATGGTGGCCTTCCGCACCCACTCTTCGGTATTTTGAATCCAGCTTAATTTTCTGTCTAGGACTATGCCCAGGTATTTCGCGGATTCGCTTACTTTTAGCGTGGTCTGTGCCAGCCTTGGTGTAATCAGTGGGGGGATTTCGTACTTTTTTGTGAACAGTAAAAGTTCTGTTTTGCTTGGGTTTACAATTAACCCTTTATTTTTGGTCCACCTCTCGACATCCTTCAGTTTTACCTGCATAATATCACATAAGGTCTGCAGAAATTTACCAATTACTATTAGTGCAAGATCATCTGCAGACGCGATAACCCCACAGCCACCCCCTTCCATGCCACATAGCAGTGTGTTTACCGCTGGGACCCCTTGCGGTGTGCCCCTTTCTGAGAACCTGGTCAACGATACCCCACCAGCTCCGCTCGAACAACCCTGCATCGCAGCATGTAGTTCACGAGCGCAACCAAGACCGAGGCGATGCCCAGTCCCGACAGCGCTTCCGTTATCGCACCCGGCATGATGTTGTTAAAGGCGCCATCTATATCCAGGAAGGCTGCAAGCGTATATTCTTTGATGTCTAGTGATCTGAAGCTGTATGGGGCGACGCCATCCGGACCTGGTGATTTATAAGACTTAAACGTCCCTACAGACCAGATAACCCTTTCCCTAGTGCAGAAATCTCCAGTGACTGAGTGACCTCCAATTGATTGTGGCTGTACCGGCCTGGTGTCCGTGGCACCCGGAATGTGTGTCCCTAGGAGCAGATCCAGTGATTCCTCCTCAGCTTCAGTCCAGGAGCTATCAGGTATTTGCAAGCATCCTGGGGTTTTCTGGGCAGCGTCTGAGAATATCTTTCTGAGCCTGCCCTCCTCTGAGATAGACTCCACCCCATTGCAGAAGTCTTTCCATGCGGTTCTTTTGGACCTTCTTAGAAGCTTCTTGTACTCCCATAGAATTGTCTCGTAGGTCTCCCAATGTCCCTCACTACCAGAAACAGTAGCCTGATTGAAGGTTTTCCTGCAGTTCTTGCGGGAAATCCGGATTCGTTCATTCTACCAGGGTTGCTTATTCCTTACCCAGGTCTTATTTTTGGGGCATGCTATGTCCAAAGCCTTGCTACAGGCCCTCGTGAAATGACCGACCAGATTTTCCAGCTCCACTAGGTTTTCTAGAGTATCTGGCTCGCTATCCTGTGGCAACAGCCGGTCGAGCTCTTCCCGATAATTATGCTAGTCAGCATTGCGCAGATTTCTACTTGGAAGAGCCTTGGGCATTACCCCTACTACCTCGAATTGGATATAGCGGTGGTCGTAAAAGGATAGCTCCTCAAGAACCCCCCCCCCCCCCCCCCCCNGTAATGTCCAGAACTTCCTTTCGGTTTTTTTTTAAGTGGGGGCAATAATAGGGGTATTCTCGAAGTCTTGCACGATGCACGGATTGCACGAAATGCAAAAATACTATTCCAAATTTCGAAGAGTACGAGAGCATCCCATTGCAAAGTGGAAGCATGCATGGGTAGCAAGCATTGTTGCCGCGCCGTATCAAGAAAATGTATCACCTGACCAAGCAAAAAATGTATCCAAATGTATTCAATTCCACTTTATAATTTTATTATACGGTGGAAACTTTGCCCACATTAAAATAGGATACTGGTTACCTCTCTTCATATACGCAAATTTGAACAAAAATTTTTAGACTGTATTTAAAGTCTTTTCAGTAAAATTCATAAAAATTTACTTAAATAAATCAAATTTAGTTTTTTAAACAGTGTATTTTTAACCGACTTCACAAAAAAGGAGAAGGTTATCAATTCGTTGGAACCTTTTTTTTTTGTATGTTACCGCATATCTTTGGACCACGTTAACCAATTTCAATAATTCTTTTTTTTTTTAAGGAAAGGTGTCATAGGTGGTCCGTACTACTTTGGTTTAAATCCGATCATTGTATCATGAAGACATTAAGGTTTTTTTTTTCTTAAAAATTACTTGTTAAATTAAGAAATGAAAATATGTGATATGAAAGAGATCACTATATGTGACCTGGTCTACGAAAAGGGAGCTTACGTGCGAAAACTAGTTTTGTGTGAAAAAGCTGTTAAAAGTAAGCAACTCGTTTCGTCAGTTTCTCATTATCTCGTTAATTGTTCTCCGCGCCGGACGTCCAGTAAGTGTTTTTGTTGGTCCAGTAAGTGTTGTTGTTGGTCCAGTAAGTGTTGTTGTTGGTGTAGTTATTTTATATATTATTATATTATTATTTTATATATTATTATATATTATTTTTACTCTTCTTTCTCTACATTTTTAGTACACTTCTAAGCAAGTTAGGATTTTCTGCTTTTCACCACGTGAAAAAGCATCTCATCTTCCATCCGAATCAACCAAAAAGTGAAAATTGACACCTAAGCCCCCTTTCCGTAGACCAGGTCACATATATATAAATAAATAAATAAGATCTTGCTTAAAGCACCCTTTTTAGCTAATTAAAACAATTGCGCTTATACCTATTTTGGAGACATCTCTTCATATGTTCATTGCTTCGTTCACAAAAAATAAAAAGCTTCAATTTCACGGGTTAGTAGTGATTTTTAATACATTTAGAAAACATAACGTTTTCTACCATCTTTAATGGAAATCGATTTTTGAATGAAAACAACGTTATGGCGAATATAAAATATTGGCCTATTTAAAAAAGTATCCACATTTATACTGATCGGAAATAATAAGTATCTCGCAAAAATCCGTCTAAAAATGTACCCAATTGGATCTATTTAGATCCAAACGGCATCCCTGGTAGCAAGCAGCGAAATTATGTATCAAATACAATAACAAGGGACAGCAAAAGAATGAAGTGAGCGATATGAGAGGAATGAAGTGAGCGAGATGAGAGGAATGACAGAAATATGTAGCAATTCCAACAACAAAACAACTAGCACAGGGTCGCATTTATCTTGCTATGCTATTTTGCAAATTATGTACATGGGTTTCGACGTTGCATATTTTGCAGGGATAGGAAATGTTTCCGATTTATTTTGTTATTGTGTATTTGCAAGTTATGTAATCCATGCAATCCGTGCTACGTGCAATGGCTTTGCAAAATTTGGAGAATACCCCTAATGAGCTAACAACTAAGTATAAAATCAAAAAGTGACTCACCCCGTTCATTATCATCGCTGCTTCACCAGGTGTCATGGTGAGAATTCGCATCACCTCCCAAGATTAGCGCCTCCCTCGTGCTAGCCACTAGTTCTCTAATACATGCTGTTGGCACCTCCTTATCATGCACTAGGTACATGGATGATATCCTTATTTGTTGCCCATTAAATTTCTAGATTCATCGCTAAATTGGGGAAGAAAGAGACATTTTAGTTTGGTACTTATCAAGATACACATTCTTGGCTTTCTCATTGAGGCTCCACTTACCAATATATGAGTAGTCCACTTGCAAAGTGCTCTATGTAAATGTTTTCGATTTTTAGTTTTTGGTTGATTACGTACCAGTATTTAAAGTAGTTTCATGTCCAGTAACAACAGAGTGCAAAATCTTTTAATATTCTGAAAAAATAACATCAAGTGTTAACTCTTCTTCCAAAAGTCGCAATCACTTTTATTTATAAACTTTTAAAAGTATCCATCTTCTGATGAACTTAGAAAACTGCTTTAGGTCGTATAGACTGTTAATGTTATTTTATGACATGTTATGTTATGTTACAATTTTATAAGGGTCTTATTTATCCAAATATTTATTCAGGTAATAATAAACAAGATTCAATTTAAATGTTACTTCTTGTCTTAGTCGTTTTTTCAAATTTATGGCTTTCTATTATAAAATCACATAACGCTGTTTGCAAGTGGACTACTCATAAAGGCAGGCGCTTCTAGCCTACAAATAATTTATCCCACCACCCATGGTTCTTGGATTAGGACGATGTCGGCTGATCCTCTAGCTGTTAATTGCAGCAGCAGTGCAGCTGATGCTACCTTGAAGTGGTGAAGGTTAATTTGTAGTACCTTCACCATCTTGACTGCTACCGTCCTCGTCGCCTATTAAAATGGAATTAGCCGCGTCGTCCGTCATCTCAATCAACTCCTCCTCCATATAGAGCTGAACCATTCGTCCGACGCCTAGCGAAGACGTCGAAGAAGCATATCCCCCGGTCAGGTCGTCCATCGGATCGATCTGCTCGGGCTCCTCATCCTTTCCACGTCGCTGCAGTCCTCTTCCGGCTCTACTTCCGCAATAAGGTTCCTCGCTGTATTGACTTCGTTGCTGTAAACCTTTATTTTGGCCATGTGGAGGCCGTAACACATGACTCCTTTTTTCTTCTCCAATATCTCAATGGAGTCCTTATTCAGAAGCAGGACAACATGCATTTTCGCTTTACCACTATCCATGGTTTTCACTTGAACGAGTTTCCACCCTCGGCAATGTTTAAAACGTTCAGTATCAACGTTTTAATTTTAGTAATTTTTTTTTTTTAATTTGATCGCCAAAATCTCTCGAGTGCCGGTTTTCATCCAACCATTTAAAAATAAATGGATCGCCCTTTTTGGATCCGCCATTATGAATTTTGAAAAACTGAGTTCAGAATCCTAATTAGCAACCCCAGAAACCTCCTGGAAACAAGTTCCAACCCATGACTAATGTCTTTGTGAGAGCACATTATCGGGAACTAGGCCCATTCTAACTGTCCAAGACAGGTTTGTAATTAAGGTAATGTTCCCCAATAACACCAGAGTAATTATATGTAAAACCACATTTTTAGCTGCATTTTAACATGTCAAGAAAACAAACAAATTTAGAATATCAGAATTTTTATAAAAAACCGACCAGCGCGACTAAAACAAACATTTTCAAAATAAAACAAGTAAGAAAGTCTAAGTTCGGGCGGAGCCGAACATTAAATACCCGGCGCAAGTATTAAATATATATTTTTTCACCCTTCCGAAACCTTCCGCTAGATGGTAAGCCGAGGTGTATCAATTTTGAGTAAATTAGCGTCCTTCAATTTCGAAATATTGAAGTTTCGAGCATTTCTTAAATTTACCGTTATATGAGAATCGGCCGTTATTTTAGTCCGATTTCAATAATTTTCAACGTTTTGCTTACACGTGGCAAGTACAATAACCATACCGAGTTTGGTACAAATTGGTAGAACGGTTACCGATATACTTATATGTGATCATAAGTGGGCGGTGCCACGCCCATTTTCCAAAATTTTACCATAAACGTATTTCTTGGTAAAGAATTGTTGCAAGCATCAATTTTGAATAAATTAGCTTCAATATTTACTGATTTATCGAAGATTTTGTATTTCTCTAAATTACCGTTATATGGGATGTGGGCGTGGTTATTGTCCGATTTTAAAAAGTTTCGGCGGTTTTTTATGCTGTACCAAGGCCAACAACTGTGCCAAGTTTGGAAGAAATTGGTGCAGCGGTTACCAAGATATACACATGTAACCATAAGTGGGCGTGGCTACGCCCATTTTCCAAAAATTTTTAATATTCTTATTTTTCGTCTAAAAATTATTGTAAATATCAATTTTGAGTGAATTATCTTCAGTAGTTACTAAAATATCGCAGTTTTCGTATTTCTGGAAATTACCGTTATATGGGAAGTGGGCGTGGTTAAAGTCCGATTTCGCCCATTTTCAATACCAACCTACATACATACCAAATTTC